GATGCCCGTGTGTTTTCCATGCACCAAAGTACCTCATGGATATGCAGTTTGATGAAAAGAGAGTTTTGTATAAAATCGGTGCCACGTGACAATGTCCTGCCAGGAGGGACTGGCTGTGGTGCCCTCTTCTCTCTGGGACTGCTTTTCAGAGGATGTGCTGTGGTTTTCCTCTGCAGTGCCCTGAGAACAGAGGAGCTCACTCTTTTGCCCAAGGGCACTCTTTCCTTGGAAAGGGCTGTGGGCTGCCTCCTTCAGGCTTTTCTGGAAAACAAGGCATTGAAGGTAAAGGCTGGGGGAAAAGCTTGGAGCCAAATGTACAGTTACTGAGGGAACCACGGCTTCTTTTGGGAATTGTGCTCTGAGACTCTCTCTTTTAGCTTGTTTCATAAATAAAGGCATCCAAGCAGAGCTGATGTACTTCTGCTTCCATCTCATTCATGCCTCCTGTAGGCTGAAGACTCATTTCATAGAATCCCAGAGTGGTTTGGGTTGGTGGGGACCTTAAAGACCATCCAGTTGCCAAAGCCTTGTCCAGCCAAGCCGTGGCTGGAGGGCTGTGGGACGGTGCTGAGGGTCCCAGTGGTGAGCACATGCCAGAGACTCCATGAAGAGTTTGCTAAGACATATCAATTAATGTCCAAGCCTTTCTTAAGACCCTCCTATGTCAGAAATGGGAGTGAGGCCCTGCTCCTGCTCTTACACCCTCACTTAGGCCTGTCTGTATTTCAGGTCACAGCCTTTTGACCTCCATTTCCCCTTTGGAGGAGACCCAAGTTCATGTATCAGAGCCTCCCCACTGCTGAGGAAGCTGGATAGGCAGACTCAGAGGTATCTCAGGCATGGAGGGGCAGCAGAGCCCGGCCTGGCCCTGTTCCCTGATAGGAGCTGTGGGGTGAAGCAGCTCCTGTTGCCAGAGGAGCCCCACAGGCACCACAGAGACAGTCGGGACACCCTTGGTGTCAGTGACACCAACCAACTGTGAGGCAACCCTGACTCCTGGCTGTGGGGCAGAGGTGTCAGGATCCTTGAACTTCCCTTTTATCTAGAGGACATTGCCCTCTCCTCTCACCTGATCCCATGCTGGGAAAGCCCAGGTCTGTGAGCAGAGAAAAGTTTGCAGAAAGGGACCCAGCAGGGAATGGCTGAGGAGGTGAGGAGATGACCATTAAAGCTGCTCTCCTGAGTCTGGGCAAGGAGTCACAGAATCATGGGTTCCTTTATGTTGGAAAAGACCTTTAAGGCCATTGAGATCAGCCATCAACCCAGCCCTGCCAGGTCCACCCCCATTGCCCTGGACAGCCTGGTCCAGTGCTTGACAACCCTTGCAGAGAAGAAATTTTTCCTAACATCCCATCTAGACCTCCCTTGGCACAACTTGAGACCATTTCCTCTTGTCCTGTTACCTGGGAGAAGTGACTGGTCCTGGCCTTGCTCCACCCTCTTTCAAGTAGTTGTAGGGAGCAATAAGGTGCCCTCTGAGCCTCCTTTTCTCCAGGCTGAGCCTCCCCCGAGCTCCCTCAGCTGCTTCTCATCAGACTTGAGCTCCAGACCCTTCCCAGCTCTGTTGCCCTTCAGTGCCAGAGTTCAGATCTTGGAAACTCCCCCTCTCCAGCCGTGACCAGGTTCCATGTGACTGTGGGGTGATTCTGTGCACCAGAGCCAAGGCAAAAAATGAAAATCACCTTCAGGTACATCTGGCCTGTACTTTGGACCCCCTGGCCTTCAAAACACCACTTACTACATCACAGAGTGATAAAAACAAAAAGGATGCATCAAACCTGTGTGACAAGACTCCTTCTGCAACGAAGAGTAGTGATGTTGTTTGGGGAGATGACTTCATGAAAGGACTCCAAATACGTTCTCTCCTTGCAAACAACTCAGTACAGGAGAGGAGCTCACCCTTCTCTTTCTTTTCATGACAATAGATGACGCTAAAAAGTCATGACTCAGCTGTCATCAGCCAACCAAGGTCACTATTAAAGGCTGACCATGATGAGGAAAGATGCCCAGATGCCCCCACAGCTGAATTGACATTGAATTGCAGCGTACTCCACACAGTTCAGAAAGCCTCCACAGCTGCTAGTAGAGAAAATAAATACGTGTTTTTAGTCAGAAGACTTTGAAAAAAGAAAAAATCCTTATTGGACTCAGTCATTCTGCTTTAACACTCTGCTTCTGCATCGTTTGTGTCTGATGGAAACAAAACGCGTTTCCATCTGCGTGGTAAATTACAGACTTAACGATTTCTGTGTAGAAAACACTCCAGAGCCAAGAGCAGTTACAAAGGCCAACTGTGAAACAGTAGGAAAAGAAAAAAGAAAA